AGTCTTTAGCCCCAGGCCTGTCGGAACAGCCAGGTTTTAAGGGCTATGCGGAAGGCCTGGAGGGTGGTGAGGGTACTATTGTAGGGAAATCCTACCTATATACAGTATGAGTTGTATCATTTATGTCTTGGGAATTTGGTTATGATGCCACTTATGTAAGATCTAAACCAAATGCCATGGCGTAGACCTGCTTGGCTAGTAGGTTTGGGAGATTTTTGGCAAATTAAATACCGCACTTATAACAACTTATCAGATCTGCTTTGTAATACACCCAGGTTGTCAGGCTTAACCTGTTTTCTCTCACAATAACTGAACACAATTTTGTTGTCGTGAGGGTAGTTTTAATTACTAAACTTCTAAGGTGGTGTAATCTTAAACCTCATAATAATTCATATGATCACCCAGGAGTCACAACATAGCTGCAAAGGAATGTGCTTTGTAGTTTGTTTTAAAGTTTTTCTAAGTTTTCAAAAAGTTTGTAACAAGAGACAAATTGTTGCCATTTTTATGAAAGAAAAAAAATTGTGTCCGTTGACTGCTTAGCTAATATTCTTTGCTTCTTCTCCTCTGCTTTTCTCACACTTTCACTTCTCCAGAGCTACCTAAAGTCGCTGAAGGTGCGTAACACCTTTTTCCTTCTGTGTTTCTTTTTCTGTGTTAACTTAATTCAGTTGCTTTGGCTCCGAAATTGTGCGTAACGCTTCATTAAAGCAGATATTTCATTCAGGTTTTGGACAGAAACGCTTTGCAAATACAGATTAAAAATATTACTCAGATGTTTTTAAACAACGAGCAGGTTGAACGGAATTCGAATATGAAGACAAGAGTGCAAAGCTCAATAACTTAAATGCTTTTTGATGAGAGTTTTCAGAATCTGCCTTTTCAGTACAATTCAGTTCAACATTGAATTGACTTTTTGAGTAAGTTAAGACTAAGCTTTTGGTGGAAAGTTTGGTTAACAAGTAAATAAGTATTTGATTCTTTGTTTATCCAAAGTTGCTTGAAACTTAATATTTTGCTCAAAATCTCTCATCAGACCACTTTAATCATTATTGGTGCTAAAAGCATCGTAAATGATTTGTTTGTGTGTCTTAAATATATTCTACAGACACATCCTACACTTAAGTTACTATATTAAACCAGAGCACACAAAATTGGGAATAAATTTTATTGAACTCACTTGAGTTTATTTTGACTAGAATTGCCTAGAATGGAACACACACAGGGGGAGGGCGGGATGAGAACTAGTATGGTATATTATTGATTAAAGTTTAAAAACATAGAGACCCTGGTTCTCGTTTTTCCTTAGACATGGAAGCCACTGGGTGATTTTTGGGGGCTAGACATCCAAGCCTAGATGTAATAAAAAAACCAGCATGGTAGATTGTGATCCATAACATTTAGCTATGAGTAGAGTAGAGTATTTTAGGAGCATTTTGAGATTCAGATGGTCGTCTTCTGCGCTATTTTTATAGAGTCACAGCAGCTAGTCAGTTTGCAAATTCAACATTATGCACATTTTTGTTAATTTTGCTGAAGAAACTGATGTATTCTTGGCATTCTTTATTGAATATGGAACTCTGTTTTAATTTACTGTCTGCTTCTGGATTACTTTATCTGTTTTGCCTTCGGAAATGGCCACAGAAATGAGGAACACTTTAATTGGATCTTGAGATCATGTCATATTCCACATGTATTTATGCAATTATGCTTCTAATGTTAGGAAGAAAGCTTTATACTGAAGTGTGTTCCTGGTGAAGCTAATCATGGAATCATCCAAATACATACTCAATTTGTTGACTTGTTGCCAGTCTAGTATTTGCATGTAGTATATCAACGTTTCCCAACCTTTCCAGCTTTATGGAATACATACTCCAAATGGAGTAGTTATTTGTTTTGTCGTGGTCTCCAGTGTTTTTTCACAATCCCTTATATTAAGAGTTATTATAAATAGCTCTTTCCATATATAAGTTCAGAAATTAGCTAACATGTATTCTACAATCAGCTGTGGTGTAATGAACTTAAAATGTCACTGACATATATTTCCCAGCAGTGCTTTTTTTTCACTCTGGGAAACAAGAGAAATATTAGAAATTGTGGTTTAGTAATATCCAGAGTGTCACGGGTTTCTCAGCCATTTACTTAAATAAATGAGCTGAAAGCCATCCTGCAAGTTCTAATATACAGGTTCAACTAGGCTTAGTCTAATTCACCTCTTTAAAATTGAGCAAGATATAATTGCAGAATAGTGAGATTGCTTGCTTAAATAACAAGTCTCGTGGAAGTCTCATTTGCATATATGTTAAAATTCTAAGGACAACACTGATAGAAAGTCCTCGATTTGCGAGTAATTAAGCCTGAAATGTCATTCATCACTTGTGACAGTCATTTTTGTAGTGCTTGTTAAACGAACCCATTGTTCACCATGGGTTGGTTTTTACTGTAAACTGGAAGTAAACATCAGTTTCCAGCAACACTGTCATAAATTGTAACCATGGGGCACTGCAAACAGCCGTAAACACGAGCTGGTTGTCAAAATGTGGTCAGGCGACCACGGGATGGCAAGTGGGGTTTAGACAGATGTTGGAACTTTGAATCTGGCTCATACGTTCCTGTTTCAGAGTCTTATCTTTGGATGGTCTCTGAGCGATCGGTTGTAAGTCAAGGGCTAGGGGCAAGGCAATGATGGGTTGCACGCAGTACGCCCCAGTATGGGTGTACCGGTGCCTGATCGGAGCACCAGGTACTGTTCCGGTACAGTGATCCAGAGGGCCCATCTGCCCGCCTGTCGTCCTTACCTGTATTTGAACTCTTCGGCGTTTCCGCGTACGGCACATACAGCGCCTGTGTGACGCTCCGCCGAGCAGCTGGAGCATCGCGGAGGCGTCGCTGGAGGGTAGGATGCATGCGCAC